AGGCCAGTGGAATCCAGAGAGCAATTGACACTTGCTCCCAAGCATCATTTTTAAAAAGTTCCATGAGACATTTGCTGCTCTCAGCCTCATAGATAGGAAAATTAGTTAATTTATAAAATTCTGTACATTTTCCTTTAGCTCATATTTGTTTGCTCTGGCTCAGGTCCCATGAGATATTGCATACTTTCAGCTYTTCCTGATTTTCCATTACTTTCTGAATAAGGGACATCAGCATCTCACAGATCACAGATCCTCACTGAATACACATCACATGGTACTTTAAAAAGACATCTAGTTGCTTTTTTGTTGTAATTATTTTTGAGTTAAATGTATTAAACTTGCTGCAACCATCATCAATGGTGTTCAGTTTGCCTGTAGGCAGTAGAATCTAGTCTTTCTGGAGTATGCCGGTTAAAAGGATAGCAATTTATAGGATAAAAGGGTTGTATTAGGATTTGTTGTTGTTTTTAAGACAAGGAATGTCCCTGTAAGTGCCTAAAGACCGGATGTCCCCTTAAGTACTGGTAAGGCTGTCRGGGGCTGGGAACGGGCGGACTGCAGGTTGTTGGTCCTCGGGACGCTTGGAAAGCGGCACCGGGGCCGAGATGCAGAGCGGGTCCATGGGGCTGGGCAGCCCCRCGGCGCTGAGCAGTGCACCTGGACATGGCTGCAGACGGGGCTCCCAGGGAGGAGGAGTGCAGGGAGCCGGCGGGGAGAGGTTTCCTGAAGAACTGCGTTCTGGAAAACGTGACGGAGAGGGTCTAGCAGGGGAGAATGAACGCGGAGTCGCAGCTGTTGAGAGCATGAGGTGAGGGAGGGTAAGCAGCACTCTGGCTGCTTGCTGCTGAAGACACTGGGCATAGTGAGCCTGGCAGATTGGGATGTGCTGCTTTGGAGGAGATGTCCAGAAAGGTGTAAAATACAGCAGTTCTGTTGTACCCAAGGATAGGGTATAGAATAAAATATACAGAGAGGATTCTGTACCTGACAAGGAAACTTAGATCATTTCTGCTGTGGTTTTACAGCTTGGCCCCTTCCTATTGATTTGGCGCCAGTGTCTTCTCTCCCGCCTGTGCGTGTTACTGGGATGTCACTGCTGATGGATCCTGGCATTCAAGCGAGACCGCTGCTCTTTGCAGCCCTGCTCTGCTCTCCCCTCTGGGCACCCTGGTCACTTGCTTTCGGTCACTGTTCTCACTGCTGTTGAGTAACGTGATTTGTATGACAGGCTGTCTGTTCTGGCCAGGTGCAGAACTGTGTCATCTCTCTAACCTGCTCTTTCTGTACTGCGCTTTTCTGTGCTGAACCTAGAGCTGCTGCTTTCCATCCTCCGTGTTGTTACTTCAGATTTGACTAACTGAAGAAGAAACTTAGGAAACAGAGACTGTGAAATAAAACAGTGAAGGAAATTCAGCTTGAATGAATGTATAGTGATGTGCCACAGGCAGGGGAAGGACAGCAATGAGCTTCATGTGCAAAATAACATGTTCTGAGTCGCCATTACGATGGAAATAGGATCCTGGGCTTGTTGGAACTATCAGTAGTGGTCAGAAAAGCAAATGTGGATCATCATTATACCTCTGCATAAAGCTGTGATGCATCTGCATGTTGGATGTTGCATGCACTTTGCATGTCAAATCCTGTCATTGAGGTAGGGAAAAAGAGGGAGAGCAGAATGGGAAAGTTTCAGAAAAGAACATTAAAAATGACCCATGACTTGGAAYAGTGTGCTAAAGGGGACAAACTAAGCAAGCAGTGCTCGTTGTCATGTTGAGGAAGAAGAACATTTACTGTGTATCTGGTTTTGCTGTTGGGTATAACAAGGTGCATTGCAGTAATGATGGTTTTGGTAGCTCTATGTCCTGTACTGATCTGTATGTGAATAGGGCCCAGATGTCAGCAGGACTCGTGCTAGGGCCTCCCTCAGGCATGGGGAAAATCTTTACCTAAGCTTGGCCTGCTTTAAAAGTACATGTGGTCATCTTAACTCTGTTAAGGATAATAGGCCCTAAACACATACACATTTTTCCTGCATGCATAATGCTGCTTCATATTTAGGATTATTTAGCTTATCCATTACCTCAGTTGTCTGAGGACATACTATAAAAAAACTATAGAAAGGCATTTTAGGCTGGCTCTGTGAATGACTTCAACGTAAGGAAAGCATGACTAAGGGCTGAGAGAATGTGCAGAAAATTACTCTCTTCAGGCTGAAGAAAATTCCCAGAAAAACTAAGCATGCGGGAAATGCCTGGCCACTAACATAACTGATCGTACAATGTTTGTGGGCAGGGAGCCAGCCCTGCACGAACTTAYTGTGTGAGTACTGTCGTCTTGGTAAATCTGTAAATTTAGTCCAAATGTAAATGTAGATAGATGTTGTAAAAGGTAAATGTAGTCTAAAAGGGCCTATATCCATGTGAGGGGCCACATCTGATAGAAAATACAAAGAACCTTGCTTTTATCCCTTGCTCTGCCCTCGAGACCCATATCTGACCATGCGCATATGCTCAGTGACTTGACATAACAGGGACACAGAAAACACCATGAGTCTTTAAAGCAGCCTGATTAGCTGGTACCAGCCAGTGTCTTTCTGCTGCATTCACGGTCTCCTTAGGGGCAAGTTTAGGATGTCATTGCCTATACATTTTCTCAGGAGAGTGTTTTGGGAATTGTCCCTTCAGCGTGTAGACATGGCTATAACAGGCATCAAAGCCTGTAAGTGTGATTGGCTTCTTACCTTAAAAACTACAGAGGAGAGTAACTTGTATTGTCAAATTCCCAGTCACTAACAAGTGGTCTCTTGCAGCGCTGCCCCAGATCGCTGATGCCCCGTTCCCACCGATATAACTGTACTCTAACTCTCGTGTTTGCTTATCTTGTTTTCCATTTTTTTTTCCCTCTTCATTTGTTTCTGCATTATTTCTGTCAACACTTTAAACAGTTCTTCTAATATGCCCTTGAAAGCCCCCCTTCTCGTGTTCCCTCTCCCCTTCCTGAGCTGGCACGGACAGGCCCTTGGCACTGTTCTCGGCCTCTGGGCACTAGCCCTGCGCTTCCAGGGAGTGTTTCGCAGAATCAAGGAAGAAGGGACAGGCCTACRCCATTCTGTTCAAGAATTCATTTGTAATTTCGTGAGGAAATGTTTCTTGGTGAATCATGATGCACTGCTGGTAAATGAACCTTCAATAGCAGGATTCTGTCACCAAAAAGGATTGAAGAAAGCACAGCTGTTTGGGACCACTGTATTCCTCTACTGATACCTGCATTTCTGTGCAGATTTAAGAAAAGACATTTCCCTAATCAAGAATTAAAAGTTTACTTAGGGCAGGAAAGAGAAGCTGCAGGTGAGGATGACTCTGCTGTCACTGGTTCCTCTGGCTGCAGGCATGACACCTGATACTAGATGTTTGCAACATCAAAGAGAACTTAAGTAGATTGTGACAACGCAATAGAAGCAAGCTAAGTTTATAAACAGGGAAGTTAAATACAATGAGAGCTGTAATAAAAGTATATCCGGCCAAGTACAGGTGCTGGGATTTTCCCCCGCAGTACCCGTTAACCTTTTACAGAGGTAGATATGAAACTCTCCTGAATTTTCAAGGTCACAACTCCTTAGAATACAAGAAATGACGATCTGATAACATTTCCTCAGGAATGCCTGGCATTCTTCATGGCGAGTTTCATGTTCTTCACAGGATGTGGGTGACTCAGGCTACAACCTGCGAAATGTACCCAGACCTATAAAGGAATTATCGCAGGGGTGTGCAAGGGTGAGCAGCTTTATTGCTTCAGAGTGTGCTGTGGCTCCCCTCAATAATTCATTTCCATGTAGTGTTCATGTGTGAGGAGTAGTGAAAATGACCTTACAAATAATTCAAAAGTAAACTTAACTAGGTCTGAGATCAAATCCTGCTGTCTACCCTGTGATGTAAGTCTCTGGGGTTTATACCAGTTCATCTGCAAAGGTAATTTAGTCCAAGAATTTTCTTTAAAAAAAATACTTGAGTAGTGTATTTTAACATAGTATTACTGTATTTTAACTGAGAAAAAATTTCCTTTGATTTGCATCTTTGCAATATGTGTGAAAACGWAAGAGGGTTAGGACCCTCTAACAAAGCCCTTGAATTTGCTTAGGTTTTTAGGTAAAGCCAAAGTTTAGGATTTGGGGCTTTGTTCACTCCTACATTATTCTAGGTGTTTGTCAGAGGGAAGCTGATGGAAAGCTGGAGTGGTACAATGGGGAGTCAGGCTTGTTGTCTCCAGGCTTTTTCCATCCTTAGTAAAAAAGTTGGGCCTAATCCAAAAGTTGGGCTCTCAGGCCTCTTGTATGCTGGGGCTCTCTGTCTTGGAAATTCTGGCCAGGATCTGAATTTGTGTATGAGTCCTGTATTCATAAAGCAAAGCTCAGAAAATGGCCAGCTCCACTGCTCGGACAAGGTTATTGTGCGTCCCCTGGAAGGGGGATTAACTGCCTCCATCCTGCCCGGCCCAGGTGCTCCATGAAAGGGCAACTGCTCAGGAAGCAGAAAGGAGGCCTTCAAAAGAAGGAAGAATGGGCTGGTATCCAGGCTGGGAACTGTTCCTGTCCTGTTTATGCTAATTCACACTCATTTGATAAACACTGAGCGATGACTGCTTTTTTCAAAGGTGCTGGGCACCTCTAATTCCCATCAATGTGAGCAGGAGTTTTGCATATTCAATATGCATTTCTTAAGGAAAAGACCCTCGCTAGCTGTGTTTCTTGGGACAGAAAGACCCCGCTTAATCCTGCTGCTTATGGGAACTATCTTACAAAGGTTTTCTGCTGCTCATTTCAGTTAGGGCTAGTAGACCCTTCCTTGAAGGACAGGTTTGAAAAGAGATCTCCTTGCTTGCTGCTTAGCAAAGTGGCCCCTGACAGACTCAGAAATCATGATTAGTTATTTTCCACAGTTTCCGTTCCTGCATTTATTTGGGACTGCAGTCTAAAAATGGTCGCTTGTTGTTTCTCTCAACAGACCATGCAACAGATGAGCGACCACCGCTATGACAAGCTGACAGTGCCTGACGATGCTGCAGCAAACTGCATCTACCTAAACGTGCCGAGCAAAGGCCACGTCCTGCTGCACCGAGCCCCCGAGGAGTATCCCGAAAGCGCCAAGGTAGGAGCCCTGCCTGCTGGGAGACCTTCGGCACCCCAGCCTCCCCGGGAAGTCAGCAGGAATTGAAAGTCAGTGCTCTCCCAAATGGGGCTCTTGTCTTCTGTAAATAGAAATATCAGACAGCAAAAGCACCAGCTTTGGAAAAGCGGGAGGCCTGGGTTCTGTTTTCATCTCTGCTCCTGATTTAATTAATTAGTTTCTTGTGCCTCTGGTGCTTCTTCTACTTAACTGGAAGTAATAACAGTTCTCACTGCAGCAGTGATGTTTGTGAATCCTGTGAGATCCATAGCTAGGAGACCACATGTACTGAAAGTGTTAGTGTTGATTATAAATAATGAGACGTCTTAGCACCCACTGGTAAATCTATACTCATTCATTCCATAAATACTCATAGTAAAGGGAAAAATAGAGGGGCATAAATGTAATAATTTCTATTACTTTTTATTTCCTACACAGGTTTTTGAAAAACTGAAGGACCACATGCTGATCCCAATAGCCAACACAGAACTGGAGAAAGTAGATGGGGCACTCACCTGTTGCTCTGTGCTTATTAACAAATCTTCAGAATTATGAGTTTACAGACTCCCTCCCTTGTAACTGGCAATAATGTTACATACAAGGTAGATGAATCTGTATCCACACTTTTATTGTTTTTATTGACAATCTACTGTACCACTGTGCTACTAACCCTTGTTTACAAATTTTTTGCTTTGTGTATTTTTATTATGTCCTTGCAGATGGTATTTAAGGTGAGTGTATGCTTTTGTTGGGGGCACATTAACTCCGAAGTATGCTAGTCCCATGGGCTAGCAGAAGACAAATTACAATGGCTAACRCCTAGCTTTAGTGATTTAACATATAATGTGTGAAAATTATATGAAAACCAACTAATTCACAGAAGTTCAAGCACTTCTTTACATTGTTCTCCTTATGCCTTTTTTTTCTCTTGCTCCTTTCTCTGCATCTTTTCTCCATTCTTCAGTCTTTCTTCTCTGTTTCTCTCTTTATTTTCAGTGATGCAAGGTATCAGTGGAGACTGAAGAAAATTCAGTGAGATCATGAGCTTGGTATCTCGTGTGGTAGGGAAGCTTTCCTTACGCTGGCTGGGACAGTGCATGGCAGGCTGTGCTCAGCATCTTGGCTGCATCATGTTGCTGCTGCTGGGCAGGTTCATGGCTAGAATCAGGTTCAGACACCAGGTRGCAACTTAGGCCAAAGCTCCCTCTTTCAGGTGTGTTCAAGGGCAATGACACTTGCCCGGGAAACCTGAGTGACAGAAAAAGAAGTTGCAGAGCAGCCACACCAGGTAAATCTACAAGTTTAGGTCCCTGTTTGCTGCTGATGCTGTCTTGCAACTGAAAGAGAATAGAAGAGGAGCATTTTAAAAGGCCAGATGCCAGGGACCACCTAGACCACCAAAAAGGAAGACTGAGATGCTTTTGGAAAAGTTAAACTAGAGAAGTAAGAATATGGGGTTATTTCAGTCTGTCTGTGTGAACTTTCCTTTCAGTCTCTCTGCTGTTGTTTTCTTCTCTTTTGGAGGCCACTTGCTAGCAAATTCAAAAGAAAGGGTGATAGAACCAGTTGAAGGACAGTTATTCCTGGATTATGCTCATGAATAAGGGAAGCCATTGTTGTCTGAGAGACTGGCATGTGTATTTTATCTGTCCTTGGGGCAGTTTTCCTTGGAACAATGACCATCTTATTTTTTTAATTGCATGAATATTTACTGTGGTATTCAGTTAAAACAAATATATTTGTAGCAAATTCCACAACATCCTTACCCACTGACTCATACATTTTTTCACCACAGTAACATGGAGTATACTCCATTGTAGTCATACGATTCGTGTTAAAACATTATAAACTAAGGATGGAGAAATTCCCAAACAGAAGCAGTAGTGGGAACTCTCCAGAGGCTGACAAATAGTCTGAACATTTTATCAACTTCCCAGACATCTCCCCCACCTTTCCTGAACCACTCGTGGTGGCTGCTGAGATACAGGAGGCAGGGAGCAAGGAGCTCRGTGAGTGTGGCCTGCGCGGGAGGACGCGGCGGTAGCCAAGCGCGCTCTGCGACAGTGGCCCCTGGCAGGCCGCGTGCCGCTGCACGGGGAGGCAGCTCCGCCGCTCACGTTCACAAACATCCTGGCAGAGATCGCGTCTCACCGTGGCCGGCAGCTGCGCCGGGGAAGTCCGTACGTCCCGGCGGCTCCTGGGATGGCTGAGTGCCGCCCGAGCGCGTCGTGTCCCGTGAGGATGAGAGCTGTTGATGACCAGAGAATAAAATGTAGGTGAGCAGAGAGCTCGTCCCACAGGAAGCTGCCAGCCTGGCGGAGGGCAGCGTGCTGGTCCAGAGCCTGCTGGTCCTGAGGACTTGTCTCACCCTTCCCCTTGGGCTCCTCTGTTGCCACTTGCCATCATTTCAGCTTGAGCTGCCTAGTCGGGCTCTAAGGTTGGAAACACTACAGTGGGGAATCTCCTTTCCTTCCTTTGTCTTTTTAAATATCTCATCGAGCTTCTTGCATTTTAGAACCACTTGATATTAAACAAAGAAGATTTTGTGCCAAAAGTTAACCTATAGTATTTAACCATGACCTTCTAGAAGCAAGTATATACCYTTTGAAACCATATGTAGCTGTGGGAGCCACTGTGTGAAGCGGAGCAGAGCCTGTCCGTGCCTCCGAGGGCCTGGCTGCACCTCGCCCCATCCACGGGSCCCACTCCCTCTCCCTTGTCTCATCGGGGCCAGCCCATCCCATGGGAGCACTGATCCATCGTTAGGCTGTAGGATTTCTGTTCAGTTTGTCTCTAACTTKGTTGTGTTTTTCTTTTCATCCACGGTTACCATTCACCTGTTTCTCACTTCCTCGGACTCTGGTTTCTAGTTTATTGCATGATAAGCGCTTTTCTTTTTTAATTTTAAGAATTTTTCCACTGTTGTCTCAGTTCTCTTGTCCTTTGATCTTCTTTTCCTGCACTCCTATCTCTTCTCCTCACAGTTCATTCCAGAGTAYTCCAACTCACAGCGGGCTGTCCTAAATTTACTTGCTCCTTGAGCAAGTGCCAAGAGGGGATCGTTTTTGCTCTGAGAGACTTCTGAGTGAGAAGGATGACTATCATCAGGAACAGTATACAGAGGGTGACTCCTCCTTTTTGGTCTTGCTCCAGAAAAGAGAAAAAAAAGTCACTTGTGGTGGGGACCATCGATGACTTGTGTCCCTGAAAGAAATGGAATGGGTGATGAGGGATCCCTCTTGGGAGAGGCAGTGTGAGAGGTTGCTCTTGCTAAGGAGGCAGATTGGATCTCAGAGCTGTGAAGCTTCCCACTTCAGAGAGGTTGATCTTTCACCAACTGCCATGTAGATTTCTTTGTTTTCAGAGCTGCATTTTAGTCTATAGCGAGAGCCAGGAGGGGCTGAGGGACCTGAATCCCCTCAGGTGCTGATTTCAAGACATTCACAGTGTCTAACATGAGGTATATAATCACACCTCTTCTGCCTCCGTTGGTTCGATAGGTGTCATAGGCTCCCAACATAGATGCTGTGAATTATACCTTAGTCTGATGCCAAAAGTCATTTAACCTTATTAGTGGGGTTGCTCTCTCCTCTCTGCTTCTCGTGTTATTCTTTACGATGGCATTATATATAAAGCAAAAAAAGCTTAAGAGCGCTTCAGTTTGTGCATTTGCAGTACGGTACTAAGAACCAAAATCATGCCAAACACTTGTCATTCTTGCTCTTTGCGTTGTGTTTTCTGTTGCCTGGCCGAAGAATTCAGTTGTGAGAGCATTTCTGCTGTAGCACATATGCATTTATCGGGCATCCTGTACATCTTGTCACTAGAACATTTTTCAGATGCCTGATGCAAATCATCATCCTGGATTAATATAGTAAAATCCCCAAACCAAAAAAGGAGACGAGACACTGAACACTAATAGGCARCCCACATGAACCATTTGATAACAACTACCAGGCCGTATGACACAGCAGGCCACTGCAGAGGCCTTGTGGTGAATAACTCAGCACTGGGGCTTGGGTTACTCATCACGGGTTGGTTTGGTCTTGGTTTTTTTTAAGCCATCAGTTTAGCTCAGATCAAAGGAAAGAGCTACTGTGTTCATGGCAGATACTCGTGGATGTTGCTGTCCATTCCTGTGCGTCTAGGAAGAAGTTGTGACGTGTGGGTTTCCCTTTTCAACAGAATGTGAATACGGTGTCTCTCTCTGCAACGGAAATGTGAATGCATATTGTACCTTATAAGATAAACTTGAATTCTTCCACTTCTACATTATTGTCTTTTCCTTGCAAATGTACTCTTTGTCAGTCTTAAATATATGCCATTGTACGAAGCTATTCTCTGAATTTTTGAGTGATTTCCATGAGATAGGTACAGAGCTCATATGCAACACCATGTCCAGTTTTAAAAATAAAGGTCAGTGAAATGCAGAACAATGAACCTGCTCTTTTTGTTTGTTCACAGTAAGTTGGGAATGAAATATGAAAAAAAGGGGGTTGATTTTATTCAGCTTCTTAAACACTAGATCAATGCAGTCAGAGCCAAATTACTTTGATAAAAAACATCAAAATTCACATGGTACTGTTTCAGGAAAAATAATTTGCTATTTAAGATCTCTATTTTTATTTTCATTAAAAAGGGAGCTGAAAAGACTGTTAGGGTAGTTATTTATCCAGTGATTGTGAACAAAGTATCGTTGGATCTCACTTGTATTTTCAGAAAAGTTTTAACTGGACGTATGATGTAACTTGTATAGAGTTGCATGTGAGTAGTGTTAGTCACTGTTTTACAGTGTAGTGTTCCGCAGTGCACAAATACGACTACTGAAAACAGAAGTGTTAGATTTCATTAAACTTAAAATCTTGTTACAGTATATAGTTGCCCACTTTTTGTGCCAAAAAACATCAGTACATTCCATAATCTATTCTAATAGAGGATTGCACTTTGATTTGTTTGTGACTCTTGCAGTTTCAATACTATATATCCCCATCACAAAGGAATAAAGTGTCGGTTGTACTGTGGACTGTGTAGTTTTGCCTCTTATTTTGAAACCAAAGCACATGCATTTGATTTAGTATTGCTTCATGGTGTCTTTTTATTTTGAAACTTAAAATGAGTCTAGAAATAAAGACAAGAATAGACACTGGTGCGAAAACCTTTAAACCTTTTAAAAGAAATCTTGGCTCTTTGAAAACAATCATTTTAGGCTTACATTTAAGGATAATGTCTATAGAAGAGGCATTGCCGTAGTGTTCCAGGTGTAATGCTCGTGGTAACACTTTGCTCCTGTCTGAGGGTAACTCCGTGTTGCTGTAGCGTGGTGTGTCCTCTGTAGCCCCYGTGTTTATTGCAAGGTGCACGAGGTGAAACTGCGAAGGTTTCGTGGCACCACCACTGTGCGTGTGGCTCCTGCACCATCTCCTCGCCCGCGATGTGAAGGCAGTTGATGTCGTGTAGGGGGCAGCAGGGCAGGTGGCTGCATGTTTTCAGAATATTTCAGAATATTTCAGAATATTCTGAATTGTTTTATTATTATTCTGATTGTTTTACATCTAAATAGCCCTTGTGGGCTACACAGGGGGTGTGTGGCTGGTCTCTGCCTGTTCCTCTGTGCTCTGGGACCGACACACCGCGAATCCAGGGTCCACCGAGCAGGGGAGCAGCAGCTCCTCGGGGRAAGCGGCACCGCTCCTGGGCGTTCAGTGCCACCTTGTGGCAATCAAGGCTCTCTTCCAAGTTTGTCAAGGGCTCAGTACGGCTTTTTGTTTAAGAAAATCAAACACAATTAAAAGTGCTGTAGCAAAAGAATTATGTCTCATCCTAGCTGTACAGTTCAGATAGTAGTAGAGCTTTAAACAGACCATAACCCAACTCTTCTTGCTGGAAGAGGAGAGGAGACAAGGAGAGAGTTGGTTTGGGTTGGCCTAACTACAGCCTTTGTACTAATTTAGCACCGCTAGTTAAGTATGATTGTTTTATCCAAACATAATTAAATGAGTACAACCTCTAAAATGCGGATACCTTTAGCATGGGACAATTACTTCATAGATAGAACTGCACCATGTATCTTTGTGTAGCCACAGCTACCCGGGAGAGTTGACAGCAGCTGAAATTTGTCGCTAAATGACAGGAATTTRAGATAATGCAAATGCCACAGAAATAACTGCAATTTGCCATATTAAGAAAATCTTGTCCTAGCCTAGAGAAGCATCCAGAAGCCGAAGCACGGAGACCGTCAGCCCACGGAGACGTTGAGCCGCGCAACGCTCCCTGTGCCGGGTGTGAATGTGCCAAGTGTGTCCGGCCGCGGAGCTGCTCCGGCCGCGAGCCCCGCGGGAGCGGCGGGACCTTGGGAGCGAGGCCGGAGAGACCCTGCACCTGGAGGGCTGGAGCAGCGCAGCCTTGGGAGTGGGCTCTGAGCTCACGCTGTGTAGGTACCTGTTCCTATAGCCAAGGCAAATCCTCATGCCTCCCAGCTCCCTGCCAAGGAATTCTCTCTGAGCCGTTCCTAAGACTCCCCTGGTGAAACGGAGCCGACCCTGACCTCCGAGAGGAATTCCACGCCGAGGGCAGTCCCCTTCCAGCTGCGCGGACCGCTAATTCCCGTCAGCGGTTACTCCACCCCTGTATTCCCTGCCCTGTGCGCTGATCCCTGCAGTGTGTCTGGGGAACGCCTCGGAGCGGGTTAGGACACGGCCCGAGCGCGSAACGCGCCCTTTCCACCCCGGCGCCAGCAGGGGGCGCCCGCGCGCGCCGCGCACGCGAGCTCTGCGCATGCGCGCGGGGCGGGGCGCGCGGGGGCGGCGCCCGGAAGTGCTCTCGGCACCGGTTTTCCCCGCGGCGGCGGCCGCGTTTCCGCCATGGAGGGTCTGGGCCCGGGCGCCGCGGGGCGGCCGCTGACGGAGGACGAGATGGCGGAGGTGAAGAAGGAGGTGAGTGGTGGGCGGGGCCCGGGGCGGCCGCGGGGCCCGGGGCGGCCGCGGCGGCGGGGGGAGGGCGGGGGCGGAAGCGCCGTCAGAGCGCGGAGAGACCAACGGCCGCGGGCAACGGCCGCCCGGCGGCGCGGTCACGTGACGCGGCCGGTGCCTTGGTCGCTGCTTTCTGCTTTTAACCGCCCGCAGGCGGCAGCGCCGCTCAGGGGCCGACCTGCTGGAGAGCGGCTCCGCGGAGAGCGACCGGCGAGGCCTGGTGGACACCAAGTCACCCAGGTTGCCCTCGTGGCCAGGAAGGCCAGGGGGACCCTGGCTGCAGCGGGGGTGGTGCCGACAGGRGGAGGGGATCCTGCYCCTCTSCTCAGCTCTGGGGAGGCCAAACCCGGAGTGTTGGGGGCAGCTCTGGGCTCCCCAGGACAAGAGGCACGTGGAGCTTCTAGAGAGGGTCCAGCAGAGAGCGACCAAGATGATTAMGGGACTGGAGAATCTATTGTAGGAGGAAAGACTAAGTGAGCTGGGCCTGGAGAAGACTGAGAGGAGATCTGATCAATACGTATAAGTACCTGAGGRGAGAATGTGAATTACATGTTCAGGATTCAGTAGGAGGCAGAGAGTGGCACAAAACATAGATASAGGAAAAATATAGTCAGAGCTTCTCTTCTAATACATTTCCTCATTCAGTCCTGTGTATAATGCTAACCCGTAAGGACAGCACAGAGGGGAATTCAGAATTAATACTCTCTGTGCATTGTAAGACTCATTGCAGGAGGATGTTAGTCAGAACATCATGGTCTTTCTGTAACAGTTCCCTGTATTCTTCTAAGAGGGCAAATTTTTTCAAGTCTTAAGTTTTCAAAGTTTGTTGACYGCTTCCTCCTGGTGGTAGGATGGGATTTGTGTGAGAAATGAGCCAACTTGTATTGGCTGTGAAGCTCCCAGGTATTGAGGCAGGGGCTTTTGTTGCATTTAGACACTTGGGATTATTCGGGAGCACCTTGCATTGATAGGGGTTGTACTGCTGCCCTTGTCTGTTCTTTCCGTGTCCGTAATGCCAGCGCAGGTGCCCCCGCGACTGCAGCTGCACCTGGGAGCTCATCTGGCTGGGGAAAGCAAGCAAGCAAGCAGTCCAAGCAGGTTGTTTCTGGAACTGGATCCCCTCTGCTGTAGCGCAAGGCGGAGAGTGAGGATGCCCAGCTGTGGGGCAGAGGGGACTGCGCCTTTGCACTAGAACTGTTTGCAGCTACTATGGATCTGCTGCACCCTYATTTTTAATTTTGCATTATAGCCAACTCCACTTCTATTTGCCGAGCCGGTAAATCGCTCTAAAGCAATCCATGTGCTGTGTGTGCTTCAAGGGGCARTCCTGAAATTATAGTTAATAAATACATAAATATATTTATACCTTTGAAGCACAAYGTTTCACAATGTTTGAAACCACTGTTTCCAAAAAGTGCTTCGTTGCCTCATTTTGCCTGGTGTCCACATGCCCATGGTGTGACCTTTCGGTGATAGACAGAGTCCCATCCTGTGAGCAGRTTCTTCCATCCTTTTCTTTCTCCTTCCTCTGCTTATATAGAGGACTTGAGCATCTAATTTACACTTGTTAGTTAAAATTTGGGTCATACAAGCAAGTAGTAAATCTGAGTTCACTTCTAAGAAAATGGTAAGTAAATTAGATAATGGTCTAAAAAATGTGGTATTTTCTAGATAGCAGAAATTTATCTCCGTGTTCCTAGTTAACATGATGGCAACTTTAAAAAATGTTTCATCACCCTGTAGGAGGATCGTATAGATTTCCATTATAGACTTCTAATTAAGKGGGCATGTTGACTAATAATGCTTTGTTTTGTCTTTTAGGCTTTAGAAAGAATGCGTCCTTATTTGTGTGACAAAATCATAGCTGAAAGACACTTTGATTACCTACGTTCAAAGAAAATACTCACTAGAGAGGACACAGAAGAAATTTCTTCTCGATCTTCCAGTAGGAAGAAAACTGGGAAGTTATTGGACTACTTGGCGGAAAACCCAAAGGGACTAGATGCTCTGGTTGAATCTATCAGACGAGAAAGAACACAAAATTTCTTGTTACAAAAGATAACGGATGTAGTGTTGAAAGTCAAAAATGAAAAGCTGGAAGCTCTCAAAGGTGAGAAGTTTATACTGGTACTTTTTAYGACCAAATCTTTTACTGTGATGGACTGGAAAATTAAACTCCCACAGTKCCTTAATACCTGCTCCTAGGGCAGGCAAACATCACTGGTTTGGACTTAACATACCACAGCATTTGTCATGGCTTTGACATCTTACCATTTGAACACATCATAAATAATAGATGATTAAAATATATATATGCACACATACACCATGAATTATTACAGTGGATAAGTCTGTTTCCACCTTTCAGCTTTTCTTTCTATGCAGCTCTCATAATGAAGAGCTCAAAACAGGTAAATATCTCACAGCTTTCTTTGCCCTGAAGCCATTTATGGCAGTGGCAGGATCCTCTGGTTTTCTTAAACTCTACATGTTAACAGAAGATAAACCAGCAGGTGCAAGCTGAGGAATGCTCATAAGTGCCTTCACTTAAAATTGGACTTTATGAGTACACACATGTGTTGCTTCATGCACACACGCAGGTTTTGTTGATAGAGAGAACTTAAGTAATTACCTGTTCTTCTATTTTAAGGCAGATAGTAAAATTATAAACCTCTAAAATAAATACTTCCTCTTCAGATACATCAAAAGAATAGCAAAAAAGGAAGAAGTGGGCTGAAATTCTCTCTAGCTTCAGACATAACCACCTTCAAATGCAGTCCCTTCAGGATTAGAGCAATGTAGTTGCAGCTCTTAAAATATTGAAGAATGTATTTAAGAATACAGTAAGAAGGAAAAAAAATCAAAGTGATCAAAATTCCTAAAGCACAATTAACTGCTAGCGTATCTGTGTCATCATCACTGATACTGGTTCAAAGAAACTCGTTTGCATCAGCCAACTGGACAAGATGTTTTACTAATTCATTGTGAACATTGGGATATCACRTGCAAGATAAAGAGGATAGTCTGATAAAATACTCGGGAGTGATCCTTAATAATGTCTCGGGGATCCTTGGCAGGAGTGCAGGCTTGAGAGTGCATCATATTGCACTTAAAACTGGTCTCTGTTTCTGTCTTAGGTCTGAGCTGCAGCACCTGCATGACCTCACTGTATGGAGGAACAAATGATCTTTCCAGGTCATATTCAGATGAGTCCAACTTCTTTGAAAATGCAAAAGAAAAAGAATCTACCCAGATAAGACATCCAGAAGAAGACTATAGCACTGCTGCTTTTGTGTCCGCCGTCTCTCTCCGCTCAATGAATTTACCAGTTGCAGAGATGGGGACCACAGAGGGGGCGGTTTTGTCGGGGCCCCTTCCAGGGCCGGGGGATCCGGGTGCTCCCGCTCTGCCGCCGGAGCTGCAGTCCGAGCAGCAGGAGCCTTGTGCCAGCTCGAGTGACAATGTCGGCTTCTTACCTCTAAGGTCACGTTCTCTTCAGTCACAGTGAACTGAGGGACTTTGTTCACCCAAGGGTACTGAAACCATGAGGTTTTACAAGAGCAAAAAATGTTTTCAAACTGTTAATYTGTAAAAATCAGAAGTAACCTCTGCTCTAACCACCTTCCTCCCCACAAAAGACAAACAATCAAAAAACACCGACAAAACTCCTTTAAACATAGTATAATCAATCAGGTAACTTTGTAGCTGCTTGATTTTATGTTCTTTAGGGAAGATGATACACCAGCAAAGACTTGTGGAGGGTTTTTTTCTTATTTTTTAACTCATTTAATTAGGATTTAATATTTTAATTTTTGTTGCAGATACTTAAGGGGGAGTTAGAGGACAAATGTTTTTTTTTTCTACAGTGATTTTTTTTTTTTTCCCTCCTAAAGTTTCTGTGACGAGTTGGTGGGAAAGATGCTTAGGAAGAAGAACTTGGGTATTGAAAAGTAACCTTCTGAACTTAATTTGGCAAATGAGTTTTAAACTTTAAATGTTTGGGTGGGTTTTTTTTTTTGTTTGTTTTTGGTTTTTTTTTCCTTCCATCTATGTAGAGATGTGCAGATCCCAATGCAAAAACTGAGTCTGACCAAATTCATGGCTATCTATGCTTTTTAGTAAGAAGTCTTCTAATTTTGTGAGCCTTGTTCTTTGTCCTAGTAGTAAGTTGAAAGGAACTCGGTATTGCAGCGATCTGGGTCGGTAAGTGCTTCCACAAGTTCTACTGTGTTGCTCTTGTATATTATTTAGCGATTTCTGATTGAGATGCACTTTAAATTCACAATAATACTGGAAGGGAATGTAAACTGCTGTAACCAGATCATGTGTTTATCATGTGTCATGACTGTTTAAAAAAAAACCCCAAACTCTTTACTGTATAATGCTGTTAAGGGGCAAAGCAGGTAAGCAGAGGATCCTATAGCAGGAGAGTATCCTTAACTGAAGGACTCCTAAACATGATGCACTTCGGATACGCACTCRTCAAAGTGGATAGACACGTTTACGTTTTGGATCGTTTAGTCAAACACATCTGAGACTTATTTCAACATGGGAAGGTTCTCATATTTGCTGACGTGGTAGAACACGCTCTCCAATTCTCCTCTTCTGCTGCAATCTACTTTTTATGACGCTAGCCTTAAATCACTTCAAAATTAGCCAAAGACACACTCTTACACAGAAATACATATAGGTAGCTGTTCTGCATACTACATTTTAAAGGGATATTTTTGGTATGTCAAAAGGCAGGTTTGTATTTAAGGCTGCAAATGAATGTCTCGCACAGCACTATAGCCCTTTTATCCACTCACCCACAAGCCAGTAACTGTTTCTAAGCTGCCCTCCTGGGGAGGCAGAGGCTGCAGGGCTGCCGTATAGTCTCAGTGTTTTTGTTGTGTTCGTTCTGGTTTTGGAAGTAGATTCAAATAAACTGCAGGGTTTAACTACATTCCACCTTCAATATATGAATAGCTTATATTTAATAAAGATGTGGGCTTCTGTATAGTGTTTATCTAAAAGAAAAAAAAACCAAAGTGTATGGCTAAGATGACAGACCACCAGGATAGCAGAAGTGCCTCTGAGCTGCCTTGCTTTGGAAGGTACTCTGCGAGTTAGGCACCTAAGTACAGGCAAAAGCCTTGCATGCAGGTTAAGGGTCCCGTAAACGCATGTCTCCTATAAACTTGAACTGTGCTTGCACATACACGCGATATTTGGAAAAAATTGTGTGCCTAAATGCTCCTTCCATCACTGTGACCGCTCTAAGCACTGTGCCTGTATTCCCCMTCCTATTTTACTGCCTCCTTAGAAGCTTCAGTGCTGTGGGGCCCTGATTCCTTCCCGGCCCATCCCCTTCGAGTGCATTTTTAACTGTGTGTTAGAAAGGCATTTAGGGGCTCTCTCGGGAGCCTGCTGGGCGTTCGCTCGAGCTTCTTGGGCTCCGGTAAGCGGAGGGGAGAGCGAAGGAGCCGGCCGGGGCAGCCCGTGGGCTGCAGCAGAGCCGCGCGGTGCCCGCGCTGGGCTGCCCGACCCGGCTGCACCGGCGCCCTCGGCCTCCCCGCGCGGCCACCGCCAGGCTGAGAGCTTACGTGAATGTRTCATCTCTCCAAATGTGTGTAACATGCTTTCTAAAATTTGTGAAATATTTTTATCAACTTTTGAAATAAACCTTTTTTTTTTTTTTCAAAATGGCTCGTTTTCTGCCCTATCTCGAGCATTGCTGCAGTGCGTGGCTCTAGGAGCAGTTCAAGGAAGTGTCGGTGCGCGGGCTCGGACCCAGGAGGCTCTTGGCCCCTCGGAGCTGGATGGGGGTGTTGGAAGCCTTTGGAGAAGCAGGGGCTGAGCGAAGCCTTCCCGTGCTGAGCAGCCCCTAGCCAGGCAGGGCTGGSCCCCTCACACAGCATGCGGACCATGGGTGCTGGTGGCTGGGGTTGTCTCCCCAATGCTTTAGAGGTAGTATTTCTTTTGACATAAATTACAATTTTATAGTATTGGTAAGTGATCAGGCGAACCCTGCTTCTTTAACCCAGCATCTTTAACCAGAGCTTCTTCTGGGGAAGCACTTACAGATGATCCAAAAGCAGCTGTTTGGGCCTAGTAAAAACATACTTGGAAAACCTGTGAGAAGAAAAGCCTGCCCTGGCGCAGGCACGGCCGGTTCCAGGGCCCGTGCCCAGAGCTGCAGCTTGCAGCGTTATCTGTTATCATGCTAAMGGGGGAAAAAGGCATTTATGGCTACTTGGGCCTGCAGGTGGCAAGCAGTGGCAGCTGGGCCGGGTTTCGTGTCTCTGTGTTCCTTCCTCTGGCCCCGGCGGCAGAGCGGCGGGGCGGCCGCGCTCCTCCTTCCTCCCGCTCCGCCAGGAAGGTTCCGCGCCCGCCCGCGGCCCCGGGCCCCGGCGCAGGCCGGAACGCGGCGCGCGGCCGCGGTTTCCGCCCGGCGCGGCCCGGCATGGCGGCGGAGGGGCAGGACCCGCTCGGCTACTTCGCGGCCTACGGCAGCTGCAGCTCCAGCT